AGATAAGTATGTTGAATATTATACCGTGTGTGGCTTCGCCAGTCACACAGAATGACTTTCATCAAGGACGGTGTGCTATTTACCTATGCCTGATTTTGAATAGAGTTTATTGACCTGTAGGAATCTAGGTCTTGAAACTGCTTTTGTGTTCTTTAACCATCCTGAGATTAAAAGTAATTCACTGAGTGTAAATTGTCCTGATATTGTCACGGAAAAGCCTAGATGTGGGTCATACTTTGAAGAAAATTCACTTGTAATGTTGAATTTTAGTCTTACAGTATATCCTATAGTTTCATGTTTATTCTCTCTCAATTCAATTTAATTCAATTCAAAAGGGCTCTATTGGCATGAACGTTTCAAGAAACATTGCTGCCGAAGCATCAAGATAAGAAAGAACACAATAATATTCATATTGATATTAACATAACATTAAATTCTCATGTATACATTATATCTTCCTCAGTCCCTCCCAAGAATTATTCTCTTCGCGGTTCTATTCAGGATTGCAAATACATTTTTCACTTTCCCTAGATGCCTTCTCTCTGCTGAAGCATTTGTGTGGTTTTCTCTCTCCTTTTTTTCGTTTTTTTGTTGCAATTTTTAAAGACTCCAGTCACATCCGCAATCCCGCGGCCCTATAAGGAGCTTTCACGCTTTTTGGTTTGCTTTAGATGTTTAATACCCCCTCTCTTTTGTGTCAGGGAGCCGGAGAGGCGTTAAGAAGCGCTGATAAACCCCACTTAGATCCCTTCCTGGCCCGTCACCCCGGCCTGCCGGGCCGCTTTAGCAGGGAACTGATCTGTGACGGCCTGCCACTCAAACTGAGCACTTCTGAAGGCTGACACAATGGAGTGAGCAACACACCAGAGGGCCCGGGGGTGGGTAGGGAGGGGTGGATGGAGGGAGTGTGAGGCAGCAGAGGCCAAGAGGTGCCCTAAAAGAAGGCTGGAGGCGGGGCCAAAGTGTATCTCCCTCTTATCTTTCTCTTTCAATGCAATTTTTCCCTCCCTACCCTCACTACTGTAGACCTCACACATTTTTCTTACCTGCCTCTGTGTAGTTTTCACCGTTCATCTTCTAATCTGCAGTAACACACCCACAACCCCTCTCCTCCGTCTTTTTTCTCTAGTCCGGACTACCAGCTTGGCAGTTAGAGATGAGAGATTGAATGAAGAGTGAGTGGACGGGAGGGGGGGTCCAGATAGGGATCAGCAGTGCATCAGTGTCTGGGTGCTGGTTGGTCATGTGGTGCGTTCACTGCTGCGTGGCATCGTGGGTCCAACCAGAGCCAGGCTGGGGCTGACAGACCCCCAGGAGGCACAGCTTTGTGATTGACAGGCAGAGGGAGGCGGTGAGGTGGGGGGGTTGAGGGGGCATGTGGCCACTGCCGCTGCCATGGCCATCACTTTCCCAGGGGGCCGTGGGTGGGTAGCGAAGCCCAAAATGTCAGCCCTAGTATCTGTGCTGCTCGGCTCGTATCACACTGCTGCAGCTGCCTGCCATCCACCGCATCCACTCATTCATACAGAGACATGGGAGTAACACACACACACACACACACACACACACACACACACACACACACACACACACACACACACACACACACACACACACACACACACACACACACACACACACACACACACACACACACACACACACACACACACACACACACACACACAGTATATTCTTCATATGGAGAGCGAACACACACTTTTATTCTCTCCATCCTACTGTCTTTCTTCTCCTCCACACACTCACATTGTGCCTCTGTCAGTTGTACCTAAGCCAATCCATCATGCAAGTGCTCCAGAGTTATTTTCTTCCTCACTGCTGGAAAACCATTTTTACAAACATTTTCTATAGACCTACCTTGTGTTTTTTAAAAACTGATCTCTACGGTGGCTGACAGGTGCAAGCATTTAGAAAACATTCACAACTTGACGGAGCATGCGCAGAGTTTACTAAAAAGACTGAATAAACGAAACGCTGCAATTAAAAAGAACCCTGCAAGAGGCTCAAAACACAACGGAAATGGGGAAAATTCAAAGTGATGCACACAGCTGGGACTGGAGTGCTTCTTGAAGTTGTAACTGTTTTTTCAGTATATTTGAAATGACTAGGTTAGCTACGTTAGCTAGCTAGCTTATAGCAGATCTGCAATAATATCGGAAGGAATCATGTGGTCACATTGTTAAAATAAGCCAACAAAACTTACATTTTAGGTAAGTTTTCAGTGGGCCAATTTTATAATCCTCGAACTTCAACAAGCGCGGCATTCCCATGTTGTGTTTGCAGAATTTAATTTATGCAGCGCTTTAATAAACCCTGCACATGTTTCATCAAGTTGGTAAATGTTTTCTAAATGCTACGCATGTGTTGTCAAGTTGGTGAAGATGCTTCTTCATTTGCATGTGTTTTGGCACGTTTGTGTTTTTTTATTTGCATTGTTTTTAAAACGGCATGGCAGTTCTCCTCATGGAAATGTGTTAGGCTGTTGTAACACACAGGTTGGCCACCGTAGAACTCATCCCTTTTTTCTCTGTCAAACTCTCTTTGTTTTTAAATAGGCTTTTATTTTGAAGGGAGATATGTCTGCTTTCTTTACATTTGAAGTTGCATGTGTATGGCAGTCATTGAAAGAAGTTATGTTTGCAAAATGTGCTATTTGCCAAGTGATTGAATGTTTCACTGTACTATGTGTACTGTGTGGTTTTATCTGTACTTTTAATCTGTGTGTATGTGGTGTGTGTGTATGCGTGTGCTGCCTATTTGTCACAGCTGGATGATGAATGCGCTGACAGTAGAGGGGTCAGTGTCACAGACAGTGTGGTCAATTGCCCCCCATCCCCTGAGTCTAACCTTGAGCAACACTCCCTAAAGAGTCTCAATCTGCCATTAAGACACACACACACACACACACACACACACACACACACACACACACACACACACACACCAATGAGTGTGTGCCATTAGTAGCTGGCAGGGTCTGGTTTGACAGAGAGCGATTAGCTCCCTATCATGTGTATTGATCACCGTGTCCTGGCTGCTCTTCCAGAGGAGGGGCTGGAGGGGTTGTACAAGGTAGTTGGGGCATACACACTTAAACACCCACACATATACACACTATCATCCTTGTTATCTACAAATGTCTTTGTTTGATATAATATGTTAGTTTTGAGTGTATAATTATATTTATATCATTGAAACTTCCATTTATATAATGTCCTCAAAATATTGCAGGACAGAAGAGCAATCTCCAATCCTTTATTCCCCTGAATACACTTCCATATTTGAATGAGTTTTTATTTGTAGAAAGGCTTGAGTGGCTCCATTGTTATTGAAACACAATGGTGCATAAGGCTCTTAATATTTTGGAAAGACATTTTTCTTTTGGCTGCCCTTGCTGGCGATTCCAAACTTTTGAAAAGTAGTATTTCAATTAAAGCTAATTAAATGAGTTCACAAATGCCATGTTATCTATTAAAAAGTATCTTCTTGTTAATAAGGCATCACCTGAAACGTGTAAACTAAACAACATTTTACACTGAGGCCATTTTATCTTAAATGAATCTGATCAGCCTAATGTGGAATCGTACACGTATCACATCCACTTCCTGTCTGAGGTATTCAGTGTTTAATATCACACATGGAGCGTTATTAGCTTTAACAACCCCCCCTTCCACCCTGCACCCGTCTTCCTTGGGTAGTTTAGACCAGCTCTTGTTAATTGAGTCTAATTGAAGAACATGAAGGGGGAATAAAGCAAGCAGGCTTTTAGGACATAAAAGACTGCAGCCGCCTCTCAATAGTATTTATTTTCAACCTCTTCCACTCTGATTTAAGTGTAAGAGGACAATAGTGGCCTGACACTGTGTTTGTGTGTGTCTGCGCGTGTGTGTCTGTGATCTGTTGTTTGATTTAGTGTGCCCACCTTCTCAAGGACCAGCCTCTTATCAGATCAAAGCTGCAGGCAGCGGCCTATGAAACATATTGTGTGTGTGCTGTGGAGGACAGAGGTGCAGGTGAGGGAGGTGGGGGGGTGTTTTCGTTGCTTTTAACCCAGGACAATGGGACTGCAAAGGGGAGAGCGAGCGAGTCCTCTTTGAACTAATGAAGAGGAAACCTTTTACTCTCCTCCATGAAGGTACCCAACTCTCCCTGTGCTATGGATTTTCCCTCTCTTTTAAAGTAGAGGAAAACAGAAAAGAACACAAATATTTAGCCTGTTTTTTTTAGTGTTTCTCACAAAAACCCAGACAAGGCTAAAATAAGACTTCAGAAATGGTTTTAGATTGTTAGACTTGCAGTACATGAGCATCAATTGAAAAGAGTGGACACTAATGGGGCCCTATTCTGCTCATTTTCTGGTTCAAATTGGATTCTGTGTCTCGACTGTGACACGTCTCCATGCTTTAATGTTCACAAAAGTCTTTATTTTTCTCATACTGCCTGTGCTGCAGCACCTCTTTTCACCCTCTGTCTGAAACCAGAGCCCAGTCTGCTCTGATGGTTAAACATCAGATTGGTCAACCGCTTAGAGGTCTTGGAGCGCTATAGTTAATTGGCTAGTGAAAACTTGTCTTGCTCAAAATGTAGTTTCCATGTAACAAAACTGCATAGTCGATTATGTTTGAGTACAAACTTTGTTTGTTTTGAAAATATTTCAAATGGAGGACAACACTGTTTGTGTCCTGTATGAAATGTGCACAACATAACATCCTTAACTTATACGTAACTTAAATATCATATATATTATTTTAAACTAAAACGTCATCTTAATCGACTAAATGTAACCAAGTAGTTTGGTTTCAATTCAACCATGTATTTCAAATTCTGACAGTAATCTGGGAGATGATACATTTTGTATGGGTTCATTATTTTAAGGAGATAGTTGAAAGAGATTTGACAGCATCTCGAATCAATCAAGTCAACATATGTGAATTCACATTTTCCTCAGAGTAATGCATATCTTGTTGTTGTGATTCCAGGTTCACTGGGTGCAGAGGCAGCACAGTCATTACAGAGACAAGCGGGTCTCTGTGAGAGGACTGGACCTCAGAACCCCTCACAGTAAGTTCTGAGTAACACACTTCTTTCCACTGACGTTTTGTCATAGCTAAAAGTGTTGTTTTTGCTGACCTCCAGTAAGTAAGTAAGTTATTTGAAGAGGGGTTGTGACTGAGCAACTCATCCATAGTCACTATATTACCTGCAGTAGTCAGCATGACCCTGGTTTAGAGAAATAGACAGGAGTATCATCAGGAAGCTAAGCAATGTACTTCTGTGGACAGAGACCTTTACTAATCTGCCCTTTCTAAAAGGAACTAAAGCTGTTGACAAAAAACAATAAACTAACAAGTTAATAAACAATTCTAAACTATGACATTAAAAAACTTTAAAGAAACAGCCAGTTATATACTTTAGCTAGATGCACACTTAGATATACAGTATCTTATACATGATTGTACACTTACTTACTTATATATAAGGAGGCATTCTAGTATAACTGACAAGTCACTGGTCTTTAGATAATGTAAGTCCTGTAACAAGGTGTCAGTATAATTACTGTCAATAGAACACATTTAAAACAGGAGCGCCGCTGAACAGCATTTTGCCAAAAAAAACAAACACTGTCAACTCATGGCTGTTCCCTCTTATAAGCTGACACAAAGGAATGTTAAAAGACAAAATTGTTTTTTTTAAACTAAAACGGCACTAAGTATTTTTTGATGGTGAGATGTTCAACCTTTCTTTGAAATCTGAAGTTGCTTTCAAATCAAATTTGCTGTTAGAATTCTGTCAGAAAGCATCTTGTATCTACAGTCACAGCAAAGACCAATGTGTGTGTAAACATACAGTTCTATATGCAAAACATATGGGTTAATCCATGTATGCAGGTAGCTTTGGCTTTCTTTATGTGTGTCACTTGTGTTTTTCTAGATATCTTTGTGAAGTCATTTTGACCTTTAAAGACGATGAACCTCTCCGATTAAACCAGTATAACAACTGCAGCTTTTTAATGTCCGTTTAATATTAACATCATGCATGTTGAGCCCTATTGTGTGAATCGTGTATGTGTGTGTTATTACAAGAAAGAACTGGCTCACGTTCTGCTGCAGTTCCCATCCTCACAGTGTCGCTCAGCCTCTCCTCTGATAGATGATGTACAGACGAGTTAGAGAGAGAAATGTAAAAAGACAAAGATGTAGTGGATGTATGTATATTCACATACAGGACAGAGAAAGAGAGAGTGTACTCATACGTTTTGACCTTTTTGAACTTTTGAAGTCTGATGTTTCCTACTAGAATGACTGAAGCTGCCAATGTTCAATATTGTGTGCCAGTTTTCTCAAACATTACCATTTTCAAGCCAAAGACAGTTTCTTGGCAGTGTGGAAAATCCTAATGTTGGTACTCTACGCTCTATTAAATAACAGTATATAATTAGTAAAACTAGTATTAGGACGGTGTGTGTAATGGTACAGGAATTGTAGTTTGGTATGTTTATTTGTTGTACAACAGGAAGAAAACACACAAATGTAAACATGAAATGCTGATCTCATTTCAGAAAATAAACAGTAATGCTTCATTATATTATTAACAAATCAATTACCACATGTTTTCTTCTTGGTTAGCATGTTTGGTGGTTTAATTTAGAGGTGGTGGTAATGTCAGGTTCATGTTTACCTTTGGACCAAGCCTCTGTTTTACTGTCTTTGTGCTATTCTAAGCTAAGCGAATTGGACCATGGCTTTAGCTCCATAGCTTGACACTGGTATGGATCTTCTCATCTCAATCTCAGCAAAATAGAAAGGAGCTTATTTTTGAATATCATTGTATTTATTAGTCGCTTTATTAGGCTCTTCTGAATCGTACTGGGTTTGGTAGTGTTTTAGGTCTGTGTTTGAATATATGTAATACACGTGTGGATCCTTACCGATATGAGTGTACTCAGTATAATCAGTAATAATTATGCTATTAAATGTTTTTTGTGATTTGATTCACATTTTTTTTTTTTTTTTAAAGGTTCATTCTCAGTTTGCAGCAGTACAGATCCTTCTTTTTTACTCCTGGATATATATATCTATTCAAATCCAATACGAATCTAACACATTGACATAACAGACAGAACTATTATTAAGTAGATGCGGAGATAAGTTGTTGGAACAAAATACACACTTGGTTCACTCACAATTGTACAGTGTTGTTACAGAATCAACATTTTAGTATTACTGCCATTAGGTCAATCATGGAATTTAACATTTATTAGTGATACCTAAATGTGTTCTTACTGTAGGCTGCCGTAGTGTAGTGCAGTGTTGCAACATTAGCAGTTTGTGATGGACTGTAAACACAGTACAGTAAAGACAGGATCAGAATTTGATCTGTTATTTTAGCTGGTATGGATGACATATACCCTGATTTACCTTGATACCAACATACTGGAACATCTCGAACTTAAGTTTCGCTCTATAACAAATTCACTTTTAGATTGGTTTCTATCACTTTTTTTATAGGTCAATAGCCTAATCTTGTCTTTATTTTTGACCATGCCTGATCATACTGTTGATACGGCTGATGTTCTCTCTCTGTTAGTCTTTTTTGGTAACCGAAATGTTGTATTGGATGTAATTATGCTTAGTTCTGATTGGTCTTGGTTACTGTGCTCTGGTTCCCTTTCGGATAAGAAAAAAAAGTGATTTTACATGTTAGGTTCTGGTATGTTTCCTAGTCGGTTTCATTTTTTACCTGCAAAAAATGTGACTGTCAGCACTTATTTAGTTGATACCATCGCTAATAGATGAGCGTGTTTGATTAACAAGTTTGATTATTCACTGTTGGCACATTTTAGATTTATTTTCTACTTCACCTCTATTCGATTTGCGTCACTGTCCCTAAATTGAAACCATTATGCTCCCAAAAAATCATCTAAATAATAATAATGATTTGCAATGACCATCCTGAAAGCTGTCTTTGCACAAGTTATAGATTGTGACTTTATAATTTATGTTGCACACAAAAAAAGACCTATAACTGCAGGTCCGCTGCAACTCTGACTACTTTTAAATCCAGACTAAAGACTTTTCTTTTTGCCGCTGCTTTTCATTGAACTATTCACATCTTAGACAGCACTGTAACTTTTATCCATGTATGTTTTCTTTTAATGTTTATTTTATTATCTTTTCTTTTTAATGACTGATTTTAAATGCCATTTTCTTAATGTCTTTTGTTTTTTGTAAAGCACTTTGAATTGCCTTGTGTTGAAAGGTGCTAAAATAAACTTGCCTTGCCTTGCCTATAACTAAAGGTGTAGGCTACTGTGTCCATAATAACTTGTTACAGAAGGAGTACTAAACCACAGAGAATCTCATAAGCAATTTATTTAATTTAGGATCAATACATGTACCATAACCCTCTTTATTAACACTAATTACCCCCCATATTCATACTAATGCTTGAAATATATTCATGCTCATGTGTGTGCTTTGTTTTATTCCAGTCATTTCAGAAACAAGGTTTCCCAACTAGTGTGATCTTAATTAATTCTGCAATACATACGGTGTGTTATGAAACAAACTGATTCATATCCATCATTTGAGAAAGAGAAAAGTGTGGATGGCAGTGAGATGGGGTGCTGTGCAGTGCTGAAAATGTGAATAAAGCGAGAGAGAGAGAAAGAGTGTGTGGCAGTGAGTGCATGAAGTGTACGGAGAGGTGCAGGCCTTGATGAGCCGATAGCACATCGACAGACAGCGAGCCAAGCTGTGCCGCAGCAATGAGATGCTAATGGTATGCTAATGATATGCTAATCTGCCGGCAATATTCCACCTCACTGGAGAGAAGGGGAATCTGGGAGGCCTTTCACCATTGGTTGGAGACCAGGGACTTCCTGGTGTCAGAGTTCAAAACAAGAAAAAAAAACTCCACACATGATGGGTCTGTGTGCTTACAGGTTCCCAGAGGAGAGCAACTGACAGGCAGCCGGAGGAGAAGAAAAAGAGTGACCAGTCCCTCACCTTCAATGACCCGCTCTGGCCCATGCAGTGGGAACTGGTGGGTGTGCGTTTCTTTGTGTGTTCTGATCAGGAAGCTTTCTCCTCTCTCAAACCTCTAGTTCATGCCATGGTGAAGGATGTTCCTTTGACAGGCCGGCGTCAGGCAGGCTTTCATGTGTGACTGGAGAGAGAGACAGAAGAGAGAGGGAAGTAGAAAAGAGAGGGGGAGGAAGAGGGAGACGAGGTGAAAGGGTTGTCCATGTTGAACTGAGACAGATGTCAGGGATTGATGAGGCTCGGAGCAACACTGACACACAAACTGTGCTGCAACATACAACATCATCCCTTCAAAACTGTTTTGTTCACATGGTTTGGACAATATGTGTTGGTGCAGAACAACAGCAGTACAACACATGTTTTTATATGAAAATGTAAGAATTGTTACAGTAAAGTACTACAATAACTTCAGTCTGAGTATTTGCCCCATAACACACAATCAAGGAGGCAAAAAAAGTGTGTTATAGCTTAAATGCCTCCCATTCTAAAAAATAATGGCAACAATGAACCAAAATTGCCTAGTGAATTCATTTAAAAATGTTCTCCCCTCATTCAATAATGACTGCAATTCTTCTAAAAAAAATGTAAAGGTCCCATGACATGGCCATTTCTACTGATCAGAATTCCATTGTTGAGGTCTACTAGAATAGATTTACATTGTTCAATGTTCCAAAATCACAGCATCTCTGTATAGTATGTGTATTCACTCTCTGTCCTAAACGGCTTGTTGGAGTTCCTGCCCCCCCCCCTCCCTATGAGTCAACCACCGTTACAGCGGAACATCAGTGATTATGTGTTACAATGGCGTTTGTTAGCAACCAGAAAATGACACCAGTAATGACAAACAGATGAGAATGCTGCGTGGGGTCTGGGTGCCGTGTTGGCGGGACGTTGCGGGGCTCGTTGCTCCGCCCTTTGAGGCTCGAGGGGCGGACAGTGTGAGCTGGATTACTGGTGTCGTTTCCTGGTTGCTGCGTGGGGTCTGCGAGACAGCGAGACACCGCGGAACTCAGCCTGTGCACACACACTCATAGCCAGGCTGTGAGTGTGCGGAACTCACCTTGTGGTAAACCCGCAAGAGAAAAAGCATTTGAGCTCCATACTGTTTCAAAAATAATCTTTGATGTGGTTTAGAACAGGGTGGCGTTTTATCACAGCAGAACTTAACTTTATCTCCGGTAGAATTCTGATCAGGCATTAGCTCCGCCTCCTCTTTTTTTCTTTTTCAAGCTAAGGACCCAAAATCCGCGTTTCTCTAACAGGGCTGCAAAAGAGGGGTATGAGCAGTATGAGGCATGGCTACAATGGGTGATCTGTTTGGTATTTTAAGCAAAACACTTCACAGACATGTTTTGTATAGGTATGGCCCTACAATATATTTTCCCAATATAGCATAATAGGTCCACTTTAAATTAGAATGTCCTGTTCAATACATACAGTACCTTGCTCACAGTTCTTCATAGAGAAACATATGTTTCCAAAAAATGTTTCTTTAAAGTATTAATCTATTTGCTGCCAGTCTTATTTCAAGGAGCAATCAGACAGCTCATCCAATTTCTTTTTTTTCCTTCCTACAAATATATTTTTATGTCCATGTTTCTTTTACATATTACTGTGTCCCAGTTCGCATAACATTTGTGTGAACTTCAATATTTCCAACATTGCAAGATTATAGTCGACATGCATAATTGTATTACACCTGAACAGATTTATAGGGTACTGCCAAGTATCCCTAGACAAACACTCACATAGCAGGCTCCTGGGCTTAGCCAATCACACACAGGATGTTCTTGACTGACGTGCAAGGGTGTAATCTGACAGAGGCAGGAGGGAGAGAGGCGGGGCTACAAATTCACCACGGCAACAAATTGATTGACACCTCAGCTCTCGGGGCAAGATGGTGGGGTGAGAGTCAGGATGGGGGCGGAGAGTGGCAGAGACATCTATGGAGGGAGGGAGGGAGGAGGGATATGAAACGAGGCAGAAAATCTGACACAGCTTCTCTACCAGAGTACGATTCGTCGCATATGGTCTAAAATTGTAATCTTAATTGACAAGATTGTTAATGGAGAAGTACATTTTTAAAGCTAACGCTAACCATATAGCGAATTGCATGAACACATTCATCGTCATTTCCTCAATAATCAAGAAAAATGTAAACCATTTCTGAAATTGAGCCCCCCCTACCCTCTCCCCCCTCTCTTGCCCTCCTCCCCTGCTCTCCTTCTGTTGTGTTTAATCAGCCTCTGGTGGACGTGGATATTGATTGAGGGTCAGTAATCTGCTCAGGGTTGGTAGCCTGCCAGGACCAGGCTTGTATGTGTGTGAATGTTAGCTAGAAGCTGGTGTGTATGTCATGAGTGAGCCGTACACACACACACACACACACACACACACACACACACACACACACACACACACACACACACACACACACACACACACACACACACACGGCAAGTGGACTCCATTGTATCGTTGCTTATAGGCTGAGACCAGCTCTTCCAGAGGAGCTTGTTCAAAGCTACTGAAATCCATACAGCATCCTGGACGTGCTTGCTGCGGATGATGTACACGTGTGTGAGGGAGAGTAAAAAGTGTGTTGTATGCTATAACTGAGGGGCAGCCAAAATAAAGGCAGAGAGATAGTTTTGTTGTTGCATGTGTGTGTTTTGTGCATTCACTTTTTTACAACTCTATGTATATATTCGTGTGTGTGTGTGTGTGTGTGTGTGTGTGTCAATGAGTATATTTGCTGGAGAGATAGGATTGCTTGTGTTCCACTGCTTCAGAGAATGATAATTATTCTGTGCACGATTATGTGTGTGTGTAAGTGTGATGCCTGTGTTGTTGACTTTCACTTCATGACAGTGAGTGTGAAGTGAGTCAGCGTTCAAGATGCCTCAATGTTGGCTTATAACCAAGTAAAAAAAAAGGAGTGTTTCAGTTTTTTTGCACCTGTGTGTGTCCGTGTGAATGTCCGTGTGTGTGTGTCCGCTCCCTCCCAAGGGCCGGTCCTCGTGCTTTGGTGGACGTTAGCATGCTAGCTGCTTCTATTCATCTACTTTATTCTCACACACTACAAAGCATCATTCCCTAGGTGCAAAACCCCTACACACACACACACACACACACACACACACACACACACACACACACACACACACACACACACACACACACACACACACACACACACCCTTACTGAGCCGTTTTTTCCCCATTGTGCACTCTCTTCTTCTCCTCTCTCTCTTCATCATGATAACAACAACAGAGTTGAAGCCTCTTGGAACACTCACTTTGAATATCAAATTGGTCGTGTGTGTGTTCGTGCATGTGTGTGGACAGCTGCTGACATTTTTGGTAAGACAGTTTGTTCACTCCCTGAGTGTGCATCTATTGTGTATAATATGTGTGTGCATCTGTATCATGTAAAGTTGTATAGGAACAGTGTGTTATTATATTCATATGTAAGTGTTAGTGTATTTAAGTGAATAGATGTTTATGGGGCCACTAAAGCTCATGGGAGTTGCAACCATGACTCTCTAGCATCACCATGCTGCTGTTTTTGTTCTGCACATGTATGTAGATTTGTTCATGTGTTTGTTTGAAAGTGGGTGTAGTGGCATCCAAGGTTTCCTTTTGCCACCATAGAGCGGGGTTGACGACACACAATCCAAAGCAATAAGCAGCCAAAGGTTTTCAGTCAAAAAATGTAATTTATTAACAAAAAAGTATTGACTTAAACAGTCTCAAAATAACAAATCTAAATCAATATTTCGGCGATATACTTTCTTATATAAACTATACTTTGCAGTCCAATTTGCAACACTCATTTCCGTTTACAATTTGCGGTCGAAAAACTGTTCCGTTCCCCGTCTCATCAGGTCTCAGAGCACCGCGGCTGTCCTCAATTACCTCACTTAAATAAACACCGGAAAGTACAAGGAAACAGATCATATTTACGATTTGAAATGAACAATCATTTCATCAAAAATATATTCACAATGGCAATATAAATCATTTTCCATCATTATGAATCTAAATAATAACTAAATAATAACTTGTGGCTCTAACATTTAGAACGGAACACAGAATCTTTTTTACAGGTCTGATGAGCCTCTCCCAAACTCTACCATGGTGGGCTCCATATGGCGGATTAAAAGTCCATTTTAGTCCGTCCCTGAGTAATGCATTTTGAATCTTGTGTTGATTCAGGTCTTTAAGAGCAGCTCTCAGCTCTTTCTGTGCTCCCACAAAGTTTGTGCCGTTGTCTGTCCTGATGCTTGTCACTTGCCCTCTGCGACATATTAATCTGTGCAAAGCATTGATGCAGGAGTCAGTGTCCAATGAGCTCGAAACTTCCAGATGTATGGCTCGACTCACAACTTAAGGCAGGTGAAGATCACTCCCCAACGTTTTACATTTGCTCTGCCTCGTTTAACCTCCAGGGGTGCAAAGAAGTCAATACCAACATGAGTAAAGGGCGGTAGATCTGGAGACACCCGATCTTCTGGGAGGTCAGCCATGTTCTGCTCTCCAACTGTGGCTAGCATTCTTGGGCAGAAAACACAGGCTTTGATTATTTTTCTGGCTGCCGAGTTAGCGCGAGACAGCCAGAATCTTTGATTTAGTCTTGAGAGCATGTGGCTTCTCCCCGAGTGATTGATTGATTGATTGAAAAGTTTATTAACAGCTTGTATATTGGGTACAGTGTCCAATCTGCTGATGGATGTGGCCCAGGATCAGTTTGGATATAGTAGAGTCTTTGGGCAGGATAATGGGGTTCTTCAGATCCATTGGCATTGCCGATTTGCTTAGTCGTCCTCCCACTCTTAACATGCCTTCCACTAAGATTGGGTCCAGCTTCCTGATTGAGCAAAGACGTCACTTCTCTCAGGAATTTGCTCCAAGTGAATTATTGACCTTTCAGCTTCTCTAATGTCCTCCACAGACAGATGTTGTGATCCAAATGTCAACTTTAGCTTGTTCATTTTGTCCTTTAAGGATTTCAAAAGAGTCCAATCTGGGGCAAGGTCAGCTTTTGCAGATCTCGTTCTTTGATTTAGCAGAAGAAGAATTCCCCTTAATTTAAGTATCCAAGCAACCCCTCTCTGCAGTCTGCTCCATGATGAGTAATACTCAAACAGTTTGCTGGTTGGGTTGGTTTTGTGGACACTCAAACTGTTAACTGCTACGTCCTTTCTAACCTCTGGGTCCTCTGATGGAATAAGGCCCAGGTTGTTGGGTGTTTTTGGCCAATATTCCTTTTCCAGATACTTAGGTCCTGTTATCCACCTTGATGTCTTTAGAAAGTCTTCTACATGCAGCCCACGGGATGCGTCGTCGGCAGGGTTGTCCATGGAGCTCACATGCCTCCACTGCTTCTCCTGAGAAAGGTCCTTGATCACTGAAACTCTGTTTGCCACAAATGTGTGATATCGTTTAGTCTGGTTGCTGATGTATCCGAGGACAGAGGTGCTATCTGTCCAGAAGGTTGAGTCATTGAGGTCCACTTTAAGCTCCCTTTTCAACATCCTGTCCACCTTTACTGCAAGTGTTGCTGCAGTAAGCTCCAATCTGGGAATAGTGATCTGTTTGAGTGGAGTCACTCTGGATTTTCCCAAAATAAATGAAACATGGACCCTTCCCATACTGTTTGTAAAGCGGAGATAGCTGGTGGTGCCGTAAACTTTTTCGCTTGCGTCACAGAAGTGATGAAGCTCTGCAGTCCTGATTGGTCCAAAATTCTCAGGTTTCATACACCTGTGCACTTGAAATCTGCTAAGCTGTTCCAACTCTGTGATCCATTTCTGCCATTGTTTTTGAGTATTCTTCTGGGATGGTTTCATCCCATCCACACTTTATCCTGCATAGCTCTTGGAGGATCTGCCTGGCTTTAAGGATAAATGGGGAGAGGAATCCTAATGGGTCGTAGATGGAACTGACTGTAGAGAGGATCCCTCTCCTGGTAAGAGCTCTGTTTTTGATATTGACTTTGAATATGAAGGAGTCTTTCTCTGTATCCCATTTGATTCCAAGTGCTCTTTCAATTGGCAGGTTTTCCCTGTCAAAGTCCAGATCCTTGAATAGTTTTGCTCTGTGATGCTCAGGTATACTTGCAAGCACTTCACAGTTGTTACAGACCCATTTGGTCAATGAGAAACCTCCTTTGGCGCATGCGTCTCTGAGGTCTCTGATAAGCTTAATAGCTTGTTCAACTGTGGCCACTGATTTGAGGCGATCATCAACGTAAAAGTTGGAATTGATTGTTTCAGTTACATCTTCGTCGTACTTGAAGCTGTTGTCTTCTGCCACTTGTCTGAGAGCATAGTTAGCAATGCTAGGTGAGGACACAGCGCCAAAGAGGTGGACCTTCATTCTATATGCCTCCAATGAATTTTCAGTGTCTCCATCTGGCCACCACAGAAACCTAAGGAAGTCTTTGTGCTCTCTCTGGACTTGCACTTCATAGAACATTGCCTCGATGTCCCCCATGAAAGCAATTTGTTCTTGGCGGAATCCAAGCAGAACTCCAATGAGAGTGTTCACCAGGTCTGGACCTTGGAGAAGTTCCTTGTTAAGAGATGTGCCTTTGCATGATGCAGTGCAGTCAAACACAACTCTAAGTTTGCGCTTTTGTTGATGGTAAACACCGTGGTGAGGTATGTACCATATCTGTCCATCATTCCTGTTAAGCTGTTCTGGTGGCACTCTCTCTGCATAACCCTTTTTTAACACATCCTCCATGAATGTTTTGTATTCCATGGCATATTCTGCATCCCTCTTAAACCTCTTTAGGAGATTTAGAGTACGTTGTTTTACCATTTTGTAGTTGTCAGGCATAACTATGTCCTTTTTTCGAAAAGGCAAGGGTAGGTGATAGTGTCCATCCTTGAGTTCTACTGAGCTTGATGCTATCTCCATGAACCTTTTGTCTTCACCTGACATTTCCTTCTTCTCTTCATAATCTTTTTCCGAGAAGTCCTGATTGTATTGTGTGATGAGGAGATCATTCAGGTTGGCTACTGATATTCTGTTGACTATTGTGACCACAGGTCCGGATTCCACAGCAGTACAAGTGTTGAGTGGTCCATTTACCACCCATCCAGACACTGTCCTGACTGCATATGGTCCATTTCCTTGACTTCTTATTATGTCCCAAGGTTCCATTGCCTTAGGAACATCAACTCCTATTAGAAGCTCTATGTCACCATCAATTTCTTTCAGCTGTATGTCACTTAGATAAGGCCATCTTTCCAGATCCTTTTGGGTAGGTACATTTTCTTTTGAGACAGGAATCTTACTCTGTGTGTACACCTGAGGTAGGTCAAGATAAGTACTGCCATCTAAATTTCCTATTTCCAATCCTTTGAGTTCGTAACTCTTTACAAGTCTTTCCTGACCCATTGTTCGTAGAACGACTGTCGTTTTTCGTGATTTGGGATTCAGCTGTCTCATTAGATTCTCTGTGCAGAATTACGCTGAACTGCCGGGATCAAGAAAAGCATAGGTTGAGATAAACTTATCTCCTTTGTGAACCTTGACTCGAACAGGCACTATGGCTAGGGCACAATCCCTACCGGCCCCAGTAGCTTCACCAGCCGAGACAGTGCACTGTTGACCCAAGCTCCTTTTGTTTCAGTAGGCTGAGGCTTTTGTAGAAGTGGACTGTCAATGTGAAGTATTGTTGGGTGACTCTTTTGACACGTTTGACATGTCAGCCTTTTCCTACAGTTCCTGCTCATATGACCCCTCATCAAACATCCAAAACAATAACCATTTATCTTCAAAAAGTCAACCTTTTCCTTGTGTGGAGGGTTTTTGAACTGATGGCAATCAGTCAGCATGTGCTTGCCTTTACAAAAGTAGCAAAAAGAGGCAGGATTGCCCCCTTGTGGCTGTTTGAAGGTGCCACGCTGCTCTGTGTTTGATGGTGCGGCGCTGCTCTCCTGATCACATGCTGCTGCGATGAGGTGTTCTGTGGCTCATGGGTTGGCTCCTAGTGGCCATCCTTGGGCTAGAGATGTGGCGATCCTGTATATCCCCAAATAATGGGTCCAGGAGTATTTTAGCTTGTTTTTCCATAAGCTCCACAAGGTCAGGAAATCTAGCTCTCTTCTTTGTTCTCTGTAATATATCATAAGCCACTGTCCGCCATTTTTCTTTTTTCAGTTTGTAAGGGACTTTAGATATTATTGATCTTAGATGGGAAGGAATATCTAGTTCATCCATGTACTGTAAATCTTGCATAGCATTGCAGCATCCTCTTAAATACATTGCATATGCCTGAAGCGCTTTGCCATCATCCGGTCTAATTGATGTCCAGTTCATTGCCTTTTCCAAATAGGCGCTGGTTACTTTGATCTCGTCCCCAAAGTGCTCCTTTAATAGCTGTCTGGCTTCTGTGTAACCTCTTTGGGTATCCATATGCAGGCAGCTGCGAACGAGATCTTTGGGCTAGCCGGAAGTGTACTGGTCGAGAAAGTAGAGCATGTCATGACTGCTAGCTGTTTTATCCTTAATAAGGTGTTCGAATGCTCGCATAAAGGACTGATATTCAAGTGGATCACCATCAAACACTTTTATCTCCATTGTTGGTAACAAGGTAAGTTTTTGCTGCATAATGATGAGGTCAGCAATATCTCTCTGTCTCTGTATAACAGTGTCGAGGTTATCATGGGTTTTATTGCGTTGAGTGGAGCTATGCATTGTGGGCATTTTAAAAAGGTATAAACTGTGTTGTGGGTAGCTGAGGGCTGCGAAGATTAGTGACAGTCCTCTGAAGTTTAGGCACTGCACCCAATTGCATGAACTCCATGGCTGATATTTCAGGATCCAACGTGTCTGTGCTTTTTTCTTTGCTTTGCTCCATAAGCATTCATTCCATCTTGAATTTGATCTTCAATTTTTTCCTCCACGCCAATGCTTTGCAGAACCTTTATTTTAGCAGCAGATGCTGCAATTTCTGTGTCCAGTTCCATTTGTTCCAGTTGTTGTTCCAGTTTGCAGCTTTTAGTGTTGCTTGTTGTAATAGCAGTGCATGTTTGTCCTTCAATCCAGCTGCTCTGGTTAACAGAGCAGCCTTTTCAGCAGACGCTCTTATACATGCTGAGGAGACTGAAGAGGTTTTTGAGCTCCTTGACTTGTGTGAAACATTAGAGATGCTGTCATGGGGATGAATGTATGCAATTCTTTCTCTTTTCCACACATCCACATCTTTCATACAATATTCAAAATGTGTCATTTTTGGCTCAAACCAGTCCACATGATCGTCCTCTCTCTCTTCCTCTGATAAAAGCTGTTGTACGGATTCATGAACACTGCACAAGTCATTTATATTTTGTTGAAACATTTCCAAAGCTTCATTCACATGTTCCACATTCCCATCCTCCACAAGCAAGGCCTTCATTTCGTTCATTTTCCTTGTGCATGCTCCTAATTTCCCACTGCGGGAGGCTTTGAGTGATTTTAACAATGTTTCTGCGTCAGCAGAAGTCCTGGGATTGTCCGACATTATTTATTTGTTTTTAGGCCGTGCGTAAAAGACGTTGCGCTCCTTTAATGAGTCTCACAGAGCACGCCTATACTGGCTTCCTTTGTTGCACAAACAAATTCAATAACTTTCTTTTCACAGACGATCCACAAGTATTTACATTCCTCCTCCAATGTGTGCATCGCCGTTATGATTTCCTTTTAGACTTTAACACATCCGACATTCCACACACTCAATGGTAAAAGGACTGTATTTACATAGCGCTTTATCAAGTCTTTAAGAGCCCTCAAAAGACACCTACTACTAGTCAGCGATGCATTCGGCGTTATGTTTAACAATCTCATTGCTGTCGTCATGTTCAAGCTCTAATAATAATGCTGTGTTTGTGGGTTAGTTTGCACAGGGCCAGTACAGCAGTGGGTTGGACCTGAATGTGATGCCAGTTTGGAGCAACAACATCACCGGAGCTGGAGTGGTGGTCAGCATCATAGATGATGGTGAGTCTTACCTTCAATGCAATACACACTAATATGATCTTTTAAATAGGTACACAAATTAAGAATATTGTGAACTATTTTGGACTTTACAAGCAAAGCAATATTAGTTTGTAACAGAACTCATCTTGCTTGTGTTCTTTTTGGGTATGTACCACTCGCAGGGCTCGACATTAACGACTGCCCGATGGCCCGGGGCCATCTAGTATTTAGCTCGGGCAATGAAGCCTCACCTGCTGGTTGCCCGATCGGGCAATCTATTATGCCAGTATCATGCAGCTCGCGGATCCAGTAATGAGTGATCCGACAGTGAAACTAAACATATCTATAACTAGTTTAGGTAGTTTGAGAGGTCATTAAAATAGCTACATGTGATATTCTAACCTTAAGTGTGGGTTTTGTCCGCTCACCGCTGCATGTGATCATGCAGAGCTGCGTGTCGACTCGTCAGCAGCAGCTGATCTCTCTCTCCCGTCAGATTAGACTTCACTCGCGTTTATGTCCATATCGATCAGATCCAGCTAGTTCTAGCTAATGATATGACTACCTGCTTATTAAAAGACACCTAACGAATGTCGCTATGGAACTGGGTGAGGCCACAAAGTATAGCACAGCATTATGCATTTGTTTACATGCCCACCGGAACCCCGAGGCATTACCAACAGATCAACGCACAATCAACCCATACAGGACATTTCTCCACATTAAGTGTTATTAGAATTGACTCTTCTTGTCTGTCACATACTCTTTTGTCTGTCACATAAGTGGCGCAACTGAAGCGGTATTGCGCTAAAGGGAAATTATTTTGACCGAAGAGATTTAGATTTGCCGGCTAACTAACACGGCTATTTCTTATAGCTATGCAGGGCATGCAAGCGAGCAAACACAAACAAGAACAAACAAACAAGTGAAATGAAGAATAACATTGAAATTGTACAATATAATATTGTGGTGGTTCATCTTATAATTCAGTCTAGAGAATGCACCAGACAGCATAAGACCTGCACAAATCTAAATGTTCTAGGGGGAGGCCCCCCCAAACCCTTCGTGCGTCATTTCGTCCGCGCACATTTTTCTTGGCAATCTATTGGGCTCAGGGCCATCTGTAAATTAGCTTAGATGGCCCACAGGGCCATCTCCCAAAATCCTTAATGTCATGCACTGACTCGGTTTCTCAATATTACAAATAACATTTTCTGCTTAATACATTAAAGGGGCCCTATTATGATAATTGTCAGGTTCATATTTGTATTGTGTGTCTCTACTGTGACATGTCTTCATGCTTTATTGTTCAACAAGGTCTTTATTTGTATCACACTGCCTGTGCTGCAGCACCTCTTTTCACCCTCTGTCTGAAACCAGAGCCCAGTCTGCTCTGATTGGTTAGCTGGCCGGCTCTGTTGTGATGCGTCAACCGTTAGAGATGTCCTGCCTCTTAGTCTATCATGTACAGTGTGTTGAAGCACCACCCATAAGAAGCGCAATTGTTACATAGTGATGTCATTATGTTACAGAAGTAAACAAAGGAGTTCAATGGAGGCGTTTCAGGCAGTGTGTGGACGAACATTTGGGATTTTTGCTCTTGCAGACTATTTACATGCACAGAAATCAATATAACACACTACATCAGGGGTTTTCAAAGTGTGGGAAGGTGAGCCTCCCCTCAGAGAACATAAGAACAGCCGCGCCCCCCCCCTCCCAATTATTATTGCTATTATTATTATTATTGTTGTTGTTGTTGCTATAATGCAGGGGTATTCAATTGCATTTCAAAGAGGTCCAGTAGGAGAACATGTCATTAAATGCTCTGTTTTCTGTCTACCTTTCTCTTTTTTGAGCTCACCATTTGAAATGACTCACTGCTGTTTCTCTCCTCTTGTCTCATCTCTGTGTTTGAATCTATCGTGCTGACTCACTGACTGCACCGATTTGATTGGCTGAGTAGCGTCACCTCCTTAAAACAACAAACAACTTTTTAAAACCTTTTTATCTTTATGTTTTAATTTTTTTTAACATTTTCAACATCGTGGATAAATCCTTATATGCTCCCGGCAACACACTGAGCGTCAACTTTGCCTCCTTATTAGACTCACCTCTACTTTAGTGGGAACAATGAGTCTGCGTCTTTGATGCACACAGGCGGATGATGCTGGGATGCAATGTAGACAGGAATAAACGCAGATCATCCTCTGGCTGCAGCCTTGACCGGTACTTGCTTTAGATAAGTATTATTACAATTAAAATAGAGGGCGGTGCCAGCCCTCAGCAAACCGAGCCATCCGTCAACGGCCCGCTGACGACCGGCCGTTCTGTGATTCTCCAGAACACACAGATGGCCAGTCCGCCCCTGCCAAGACCGGTCCATGAAAATCCTAGCTTCAAATAATCGTGGTCAGTCATACTTCCTCCGTTTTCTGCCACACGCTGTCTCCTCTCTCACTTTAGGTAACTTCACTAAAAATTGATCCGTGTTGCCGCTCGCATAAAGTTAGCTGAAGTTAACTAGCTAGATTTCACTGTTTCTCGTTATTTTTTTATCACGCTGCGCCTCCCCTGAAGCTCTCCGGCGCCCCCCGGGTAGGCGCGCCTCACACTTTGAAAACCGCTGCACTACATGAAAGGGAAACCCAAAAAGCATAATAGGGCCTCTTTAAGACAACTAACATTTTGAGTAAATAAAGGTTTCTTAGGTAATTGAATAACCCAGTTTTCAAGCTAAGACGAGCACTACCCAAACATTTTAAATATACAAAGTCTCGTCAAGTTTGGTGTGATTAAGCTGAACTCTGGTCCTCGTGGAGAGGGTGAGTGATTTATGTTGGTGCTCCAGCTCCTCCACCACCACCGTCATCTTCGTCTCAGTCACGCCACAATGAGAATTCATTTCTCTCTGATTGCTGGGATATCTGGCAACAAGGGAAATGAGAGAGCGGCATCTTATGGGCTCATTCATCAAGAACTAATTGAAGCCTCACTAGTCTCAAGTGCTGATAGAGCTGGAGTAGAGTTGGAGCGTGCTGTTTTGTATGTGTGCGCTAAAGTGTTCATGTGACACTCTGCATCCAAGTGCATCTGACTCTGCAGTAAGTGTGTGGAAGTGGACTCGGAAAATGTCTTATAAAAGTGTCATTATACTAAGAAACGGTATGTTTGTGTGGGGGTGTGTTTTTCTACACTCCATACATGTGTGTTCATTCTGACATGACTGATGAAAGATGCTGATATTATGGTGGACTGCTTTGCCGTGCATCCCTCTGCATACAGACAGCTACTCAGTGTGTGTGTGTGTGTGTGTGTGTGTGTGTGTGTGTGTGTGTGTGTGTGTGTGTGTGTGTGTGTGTGTGTGTGTGTGTGTGTGTGTGTGTGTGTGTGTGTGTGTGTGTGTGTGTGATGTGTGTGTTGTGTGTGTGTGGTGTGTGTTTGTGTGTGTGTGTGTGTGTGTGTGTGTGTGTGTGTGGTGTGTGTGTGTGTGTGTGTGTGTGTGTGTGTGTGTGTGTGTGTGTGTGTGTGTGTGTGTGTGTGTGTGTGTGTGGGGGGGGCGAGGGGTGCAGCTTGGATACAAAATGAGCAAGCGAGCGAAAGAAAAAGAGAATGAAATTAAATAGAGGAAGGATATAGAGGGAAATGTCAGGCGAAAGCAAGAGTAAAAAGGATTCAGAGAGGGGGCGAGTGTGTGTGTGTGTGTGTGTGTGAGAGTATTAGACTTGCACCACTGAATCTCCTCTCTCCTCTGAGGCTATTGTACTCCGCTCCACCTCTCTGTATTGATTCCACCGGGCAAGAGCTCCCTCACTCCTTCTCTCTCCATCTCTTTCCTTCTCTTTTCTTTTTGTTTGCTTCTTCCTGTTCCCTCTTTGTTAACTAGGAGGTGACTCTTTCCTCTGGCCACCCTTCTTCTTTTTTTCCTTCCCTCTCCCTTCCCTCTCCCTTCCTCCCTCGCTCTCTGCCTCTCACAGCTGAAGGATCATGTACACGCTCACCTTTAGCCACCTTTCAGTCGATGCTATTGATTTTAATATCACAATGAAATAAATTATTTTTCTTTGAGTGAAAGCCCCCCACTTCACCTCCTCCTCTTTCTCCTTCTATATCTCCACCCTTCAATCCAATCTCTCTGTTTTAGAGGTAATGTAATTGGCATCTGGGGTTGGTGCTGCACAAGGTGGTGAATCACATTCACCACCTTCAATTTGTGTGCTTGTCTTTGTTTTTTCTACTGCCTCTCCTTCTTCAAACAATCACTGTTGCCCCATTCATTTTATTTCTGTTCTTCATGGACATCAGCATGACCCTTAAAGACGAAGCTCAATCAAATCTGAAGCCTCATTTGACAACCTACAAAATGTTGTGCAAAAAACGTGTGTACGCTTTTTACTGCCGCATATGTTTTTGTTTTGGATTCTCTCTGTCAGCAGGATTACAGGAAAAACAACTGGCTGATTTTCATGAAACTTGGTGAAAAGGTGCAGCATAGGCCAAGGAATAACCTGTTACATTATGAAGTGTGTCCGAATTACAGGGTGGAGGGAGGCACATTCACTTTGGGAATTAGTGGTGCATTCTAGTTATATGAGAAAATGAGTTGATACGACAACTCTGGAACAGATATCAATGTGTTGTTTTAATGATCTGAGTAATGAATTGCAACACATTTAGATTATAGAACGACTCACTAACTCGGGCAAATGAAACAATCTATGCTCTCATTTAATAACTGTTTCTGACCATGGGTACCAACAAATCCCTAGTGGTACACACGTGTAATGATTGCTTAGACAGTCTGTTTGTGCAGACACAAAAAACAACTTTGTAAAAAAAGTAAGTAATGAGCTATGATCCTTAATTATTTAAGAGAACATATACTTTTATTTTAAATATTAATAAGGTAGCAATGGACAGAAACTAGTATGATAATGGATTATTATTGTAATGTGCTTGATTCTCAGTTGCTTTCCTTTGTCTTACCTCTTAGTAAACATCTTTCTGCATTGGTCAGACACAAA